TCCATCTCCTCAGCAACCCGCGACCACCACCCATCCTTGCAGCGCCTCACGGCTCTCCGAACCTCCGAGCGAAGGCTGCGGTAAGCCTCCTCATTCTCTGACGTGGGATTCTGTAGCCGATGACAGTGGGCCTGTCGCTTTTTCTCAACCATCGTGAACAACTCCTCTGTCATCCAGGGTGTCTGGGGAGGTCTGGACCGCGTACCCAAAGCAGCCATTGCAGCTGCATGAGTCACAGTCCTAAACCTTGCCCATTTACCCTCGACATCAGGAGGAGTCGGGGACGATGCCAATCCCAGCCGCAAGCGATGATGAAATTCTCGCTTGCAACTTTCATCAGATAACTGAGACCAGGCCACTTTAGGTTGGAATGGGGTCCTGGGTGTACACCCACCACCGGAGTGGAAGAATGGCAGGCGCATCTTACAGATGACTAGTCGATGGTCAGAGGGCAGATCAGCTCCACGGTAGGTCCTGGTGTCAAGGACATGGGCTCGTATTCGCTGGTCCGTCACTATGTAGTCCAGCAGATGTTCTTGCTTGGACCCGGCATGCATCCATGATGTTGTGTGGATGCGCCGATGCCGGAACAGCGTGTTGGTAATTACAAGCCCATGGGCTGCACAAAAATCTAGCAGCCTCCTACCGTTGTTATTGAGCTGATCTGGCCCATGCCCTCCAATCACTCCAGACCAGGTGCCAGTATCATGACCAACTCGGGCATTGAAGTCACCCAACATGATGACTCTATCCCGAGGGGCCACTTTAGCCAGCACCTGTGACAGGAGGTCATAGAAGGCATCTGACTCATCGGCTTTGCCTGCATCCCTCCACGGATGTTCATCTTCGGTGGGGGCATAAGTAACCACGACCACCATTCCTCGCCTCCGGTTGATGGGAAGGCGAGCCCAAAGTAGCCTGGGGCTTACAGCTTCCCACACCTCACCGCCACGCTCCCACGCCCCCCTTCATTCTTTTGTTCAAAAGAAGACCCACACCCTGTTGTTTGGCAGTCTGCTGCCCCGAGTAGAGGACTGTCCACCCGTCATGGTGGCAGGAGCCAGAGCCGGTCCACCAGACCTCCTGAATGCCGCATAGATCCAGGCGGTACCGGTCCAGCTCCCGACAGAGGAGTGGCAGCCTCTCCTCTGCAGTGAGCGTTCGAACATTCCACGTGGCCAACCGTAGTGGCTTTTCGTTGTTTCTGGAGTAGCCCCGAGGGTAGGTATTCAATCTCCTGGCTCCGCCAATTGGGGTTTGGCCAGGAGACGTCATAGACGCCTGGCCCCCCGGGGCCTCCGGCACAAGCTTAGTTGTTACATATTTCAGTTTAATTCGTAGTTTCGTGGTAATTAATTGAAGGTGGAGGGGTTACCAGCCCCTCGCACCCGTCCAGAGCCCCCGTTTAGCCCCTGTGGTGGACACATATGCCATGAGGGGAGGAGCCAATCAAAATTGGATCTCCCCCCACAGCGCTGTCCACGACAGAGTTGCCCGTCCGGCACCGCGAGGAGGTAGGGGGTTGTTTTGCCACACACACACGGCCTGTACCACACACACACAGCCTGTACCACACACACACAACCTGCACCACACACACAGCCTGTACCACACACACAGCCTGCACCACACACAAAACCTGTACCACACACACAGCCTGCACCACACACACACAGCCTGCACCACACACACTTACACAGCATGTACCACACACACAGCCTGCACCACACACACAACCTGTACCACACTAACGCAATTTGCACCACACAAACACACAGCCTGCACCACACACACAGCCTGTACCACACACACAAGCTGTACCAGACACACACACACGCTATACCACACACACAGCCTGTACCACACACAGCCTGTACCACACACACACAGCCCGTACCACACACACACACAAGCTGCACCACACACACAGCCTGCACCATACACACAGCCTGTACCACACACACAGCCTGTACCACGTACACAACCTGCACCACACACACAGCCCGTACCACACACACACAAGCTGAACCACACACACACAGCCTGCACCACACACACTTACACAGCCTGTACCACACACACAAGCTGTACCACACACACACACAGCCTAGACCACACACACACAGCCCGTACCACACACACACAAGCTGCACTACACAGACAGCCTGTACCACACGCAAAGAAAAAAACAAAGATCCCCCATATAGCCTTAACAGACTGTAGGGGCAAGTGCTGTTAGCGAGCACCACACACACAGCCTGTACCACACACACACAGCCTGCACCACACACACAGCCTGTACCACACACACACGGCCTGTACCACACACACACAGCCTGTACCACACACACACACACACAACCTGCACCACACACACAGCCTGCACCACACACACAGCCTGCACCACACACACAGCCTGTACCACACACACAGCCTGCACCACACACACACAGCCTGCACCACACACACTTACACAGCATGTACCACACACACAGCCTGCACCACACACACAACCTGTACCACACTAACGCAATTTGCACCACACAAACACACAGCCTGCACCACAGACACAGCCTGTACCACACACACAAGCTGTACCAGACACACACACACCCTATACCACACACACAGCCTGTACCAAACACACACAGCCCGTACCACACACACACAAGCTGCACCACACACATAGCCTGCACCATACACACAGCCTGTACCACACACACAGCCTGTACCACGTACACAGCCTGCACCACACACACAGCCCGTACCACACACACACAAGCTGAACCACACACACACAGCCTGCACCACACACACTTACACAGCCTGTACCACACACACAAGCTGTACCACACACACACACAGCCTAGACCACACACACACAGCCCGTACCACACACACACAAGCTGCACTACACAGACAGCCTGTACCACACACAAAGAAAAAAACAAAGATCCCCCATATAGCCTTAACAGACTGTAGGGGCAAGTGCTGTTAGCGAGCACCACACACACAGCCTGTACCACACACACACGGCCTGTACCACACACACACAGCCCGTACCACACACACACAGCTTGCACCACACACACAGCCTGCACCACACACACAGCCTGTACCACACACACTTACACAGTCTGTACCACACACACAACCTGCACCACACACACAGCCTGTACCACACACACACAGCCTGCACCACACACACACAGCCTGTACCACACGCACAGCCTGCACCACACACACTTACACAGCCTGTACCACACACACAGCCTGCACCACACACACAACCTGTACCACACACACAGCCTGCACCACACACACAACCTGTACCACACTAACGCAATCTGCAAAACACACAGCCTGCACCACACACACAGCCTGTACCACACTAACGCAATCTGTACCACACACACTTACACAGTCTGTACCACACACACAACCTGCACCACCCACACAGCCTGTACCACACACACACAGCCTGCACCACACACACACACAGCCTGTACCACACGCACAGCCTGCACCACACACACTTACACAGCCTGTACCACACACACAGCCTGCACCACACACACAAGCTGTACCACATACACAGCCTGCACCACACACACAACCTGTACCACACTAACGCAATCTGCACCACACACACAGCCTGCACCACACACACAGCCTGTACCACACTAACGCAATCTGTACCACACACACTTACACAGTCTGTACCACACACACAACCTGCACCACACACACAGCCTGTACCTCTCCGACTCTCCCCCCTCGCTGCTGCCCCTCGTGGCATGATGTAAATGGCTGTACGAACCACCTCGCGAATGCGCCGCTGTGCCCCTCTCGTACACGCCAACCACGAGCTGCGCAGAGTACCCACGCAGGCAGAATACACGGGACACCACAACGCGCAGGCTCACAAGTTAACGTGCACGGCCGAGAGGTCCTTGTCCTCCTGTACCGCCCTGGCACCACACGTGGTGCAAGGTCCCTGCACACGTTGTGCGGAGACGAGGGCCCCCCCTCCCCCACTGTGGCTTCAGCAGCCCCCGTGGTGACCATGTAATTACCACTCAGGTCACAGCGCCGCGGTGCATGACAGCCTCGGGGAAGGTCGCTCAATTCCCTGGTCGCAGGAAGCCGTGCAGCTTCGTCCCATAAGGGGGCTTCTGGGTGAAAACCTGCCTCACTTTCCCAGTCACCCACTCACACGCCCAGTTACCCACTCACACACCCAGTCACTGACCTACCCACACACTCACCCAATCACCCACTCACTTTCCCAGTCACCCACTCACACACCTAGTCACTCACTTACCCACTCACACTTCCAGTCACTGACCTACCCACGCACTCACCAAGTCACCCCCTCGCTCAGTCACTCACCCACTTACTTTCCCAGTCACCCACTCACACATCCAGTCACTGACCTACCCACACACTCACCCAGTTACCCACTCGCTCAGTCAGTCACTCACCTACCCACACACCCAGTCACCCACTTACCCATTCACGTGTGTATACATGCGTGTGTAAATGTGCGCATGTTTATACATATGCGCGCACATGTGCACACGCCTATACACACATGCACATACACACATTTACACGCGCATTTACACACGCATGTACACACACGTGCATACACATTTACACAATCATTTACACATACATGTATTTACACATGGGCACACATTCACACACGCACTAACCGACGTGTACATTCACATGCGCACACGCGTGTACATTCACATGCACACATTTACACACGTATGTACACACATGTACATACACATGCGCGCACACGCATGCACATGCGTACACGTGTACATACACGCACACACATGTACATTCACACACGCACGTACACATGCGCACACATGCACACACGCATGTACACACATGTACATGCATATACACGAGTAGATACATGCGCACACACGCATGTACACAAACGTGCACATACACATGGGCACACATGCACACACGCATGTACGCACACATGTACATGCATGTACACAGACGAGGAGATGCACATGCACACACGCATATACACAAATGTGCACATACGCATGGGCACACACGCACGTACACACGGCACGTGATAATCTCGCGAGACGTGATGTTACTCGGGCACGTGACCAGGTCGGCGCAGCTGTTGTCGTCACAGATTACGTCATCGCCGACGTCACCGGAAGCGAGCGCAAGTCCACGTTGAGAATCTGCAGCAGGAACTTCGCATCGCGCCCAGCGCCTCGCAGTTTCACCACCGCCGCCGCCACCATCAGCAGCAAGTCAGATAAAGAGAGAGGGCAGCCGTGTACCCCGCTGTGAGTAGCAGCGGTGGCCACGAAGTTCCAACCGCAGCGCCGCGCCATCTTGTGGTTGCGAGGCACGCCGCACGTGCGGCTCAACCTGGGCTTTGGGTGTCTCCGTGTCTGTGTCTCTGTCGCACGGACATACACCAGGGACGTGCGGTGAGGGGAGGCAGAGCCTCACCTGTCATACTCCAATGAAAATAGCTGTTACGAAAAGTTAAAAAAGATAAATAAATATTACAATTTTTCCACCTATCTGTGTTAGAAATGTAGATTTTGTACGATTCCCATAATTTTTATCGTCAAAATCGCCAAATTTGTGGAGCTCCGCTGCGAATACAGGAAGAGGTGAGGCAGTGACGAGCTCAGCCTCCCCTCTGATTGCGCAACCCCTCAGTAACTAGATGGAGCGCGGGCAATAAGCGCGTGCCTGTTACTATCTCAGTATGTCACCAATGTAATGTTTGTAGACCCCTTCACTTCATGTCCTCGCCTTCCATACTCCAGGTAACATTTCACGTATGTGTATAAAGATATTTAGGCTCGCTGGTCTCGTCATGAAACTGCAATCAAAAAGCACCAGGGGAGGCAGCTATCACATCTGCCTCACTAAGCGGGACGAGTTTAACACGCCCCCCTCCGTGATGCCACGCCCCCCTCCGTGATGCCACGCCCCCATCAGTGTGTGAATCTGGCTCTGACTAGCCAGTGCCTCATCAGCCATTGACCTCACCGCACGTCACTGGTATACACAGATGTCTGTGTGTGTCTTCGTGGGCGTGTTGTGCGTCTCTGTTCGTGTGTCTGTATTTGTGTATGTCTTGGTATATCCATCTCTGTATATACGGAGATACAGATAGACATGTGTCAAACCTGCGTGTCTCTGGTATCTTGGTGCGTGTATACGTGTCTCTTTATACCTCCATCTCTGTTATACGGAGATAGAGGTACATAGAGGTACACGTGTCTTGTATTTGTGTGCACGTGGTGCTTCAATGGCCTTGGCTGAGCTTGACAAACTCAGATTTTTGCGAATTAGATGAATGTTGCGTTTAGCCCCTACCCTGCATCTGTTTGTGTTGTCTGTGGTGTTTCGTCATTTGCGTAAAAAAATAGGCTTACAATGTGCAGTATTTGCAGAAATTACAGTTATATTTACAGTCCTACGCAGATTTGCCTTCACCACTTTCATGTCGTTTCGCAAATACGTTGTCACTTTATTGATACCACTACCTAATTTGCATCGCCTCAACCCACAATTACGTCGCTGACAGCATCGTCCGTCCTTTTGTCGTCCATCACCTCGGCCTCCTCCTCCGCCTACTCTGTATATCACTTTGATTCACGTCATTTCGATATTAGTTTTCGCATCTTTCAGGAATGCATGGCCAACGTATAATGGGGTATTACTGTATATGACAATCATTATTTTAACACGTAGGCTTTCCCGACCAATACCCATAATACAGTTTTTTGGGTTAGATTGCGTAAATATATAAATTAATGAATGCATATAAATGAACAATGGGCGTGCTTAATGTACATGCATAATGTACGTTGATTACCATGTAAATAACCCAACCGGCAATGGATACCCAGTCATTTATATGCATTAATTAATCCACCCTGCCTCCCCCACCACATTGTTCAAGAAGTGCTCACAAGTGATACCATCACATCTACCCCTCTATTTAAGGAAAGGAACATGAGGATTTCTCCACAAATCTGGCTGTCGCCTGATGAAGCTAGTTGTAATTACTGGCGAAACGTCGTACTCCGATTATGAATGTTGTGGCTTTGCTCTCCAACACACTGATGTGCTGTACTAGTAACATATTGGCATGTTCTGTTTACATGACAAACCTTACTCATTGGCTATAGGGTGGTGGCGGGTTTAATGACACATTTATATATTTATGCGATCTAACCTAAAACAACCTGTATTATGAACACTAATTGTTATTATCTCTAATTAAGGCAGCGCTCTCCACGCTATGTGCTACCCGTGCACGCTAACCCCTTGGCCGATCGCATGCAGGAGGAGATGGTGTGCGGAGCGCGTGGCAGCAGGAGCCTCGCCAGCCCAGACGTGAGAGCTTCAAGTCACGGAGCCGACGTCGCCCGGGGGACGCGACTGACACGACTCGTGATCACCGCGCAGTCACCGCGACCCTTGTCACAACAACGCAATGATGCGAGTCCGATGGTACGACGTGTGAAGGAGGAGGTGTGTCACCTGATAGGTTATCGGGTCACACCCTTCATAACGACGTCACTGAGTATGTTGCGTCGTGTGTAGAGAGAGAGAGAACGCGCAACCAAGATCTGGCCAGGTGGTTCTGCAGTTGAGCAGTGGCTCACAATTGGAGTTCACGTCCTGGTTTGAATCAAGGGGGGGTGGAGTGGTGGAGGTGGTGGTTGACGTAGCTCATCAATCTTCCCTTTTGGGTCTGTTAAATAAGTAAGACTTTTTTGGAAAGATCCGCACTGGTTTTACTATGGATAGACTCGCCTCCATCATAGGAATGTTCACCACTGGCCAAATGTATATATATGTGTATGTATCTTGGGGGAGGCTCGTGAAGGACGCTACCGGGCAGTTGGAGACAGTCGTCCTCCAGCAACAACAGAGGGCATAGGAGTGATGCTCACAACAACGAGTGGAGCATTTGGCACCTAAAACACAATTTGGCACAGTAGGGGGCACAGGTGGTGCATGGGCCAGTCATCTCAGTCTGTCGACCCATAAAACCTGGGTCTGCCCCATGACCTCCTGCCGACGGGCATTCGACACTTCACGTGGCCTTGGCATGCACATAGCATGGCACAAGCGCCGTGGTGATGTCACTGCCACTTAGTGGCGAATGGCGGTTGTTGTATGTTGAACATGTTGAGATGGTAATTTGAGTGGAAAATCTCTTTTATAGTTTCACAATTCGATTTTTAACTTGCGTGACTCGCACATCCTCCCTCCCTGCCTAACACAGAAGCCGCCTTGGAACATAGCCAAAGGGGCCAAGTCAGGGCCCCAGCACGAGGTATCATGCTGGCTCCCTGATGTCCAGTAGTTCGCTGTGTTTCAGAGGTTCAAGATTCGAACCCAGCGGCCACCCTTATTGCTGAGATGTTGGTTCTGTACTCACCACAGTAACACTGGATTTACAGTGGACGATAAAGATGCCCTAATGTCCTTCGCAAGAGTAGGCCATCGTCAGATGATCTCAGGGTCCAAATAAAAAAATTGAAGCTCAAATTACTCAATGCCCCAGGTTACTCTTGCAAATGGGACTCTATTCTGGCCTCCTGATCTCTCACCTGGTTCGACAAAATAAACTTAACCTGGCCATCCCTCCCACAGAAACAGTCAAGGGATGCGTACTTACGAATCGATGGCGTGGCCCTGGCCCTGAAGCTGAACCCCTCTGCGGCACGTGATCACGGCGTCTCCCAGGGCACCACGGGGAGGAGGCTTTGGAAATTGAACGAATCCATCAGCACCGGCAGCAGCAGCACTGACACCAAGGAGGTAATGTCTCACTTCATCGTGAGTGCATGTGTGGTAATGGACACTTTAATGCTTACAGTGCAAGGCTGTCATAATTGAAGGTGCTGCTGTGCCTTTCACGAAACCCATGCAGAACAGAGGGAGAACATACAAACTCCACCCAGACACATGGTCACTCACACTCGTGTACACTCATACTCTCATGTTCACGCTCTTATTCAAACTCTGCAGAACAGGGGCAGAACATAAAATGTCTACACAAAAAGGTATCTGAGTAGAAAATCGAATCTAGGCCCTTACTGCTGAGCTGAGGCATGTGCTTTTGCATTCGACCTCGCGGAGGCCCATGACAAGCTCAAATATTTGCCACTGTTTTTGATCATGAGCAGGTAGTGTTCTCGAGTCGCTGGCTTCCTTCGTAGCTTTGCGTGCTAACCGTTGCACCACCGCCCCCGCAGTGAGACACACACACACACGTATCCACACAACAGCTGCAATTCACCCCTCCCTCCCTCCCTGACACAGAGACCGCCACGGAACGCGGCCCCGAGGGCCCAAGCCAGGGCCCCGGCGCCAACGCGGGGGATCACTGCCGGCTCACTGATGGCCACCCCGAGTCTGCCTCCCATCGCCATTGGTGGAAGCAGCAAGAGCAGCAAGAGGAGCAAGAGGAGCATTAGGGCATGGGCAATAGCGGCTAAGCGCTGTCTAAAGTCATATCACGAGCAGGTGAGGGCGATGCAAGGCAGAGGGGGTGCTGCTCTTCAAAATGACTGTTTAGCTGTTATTTCTCAATTGTTAAAAAATCCTGACAGATATGTCGGCAGCGTCACACGGCAACTAATGCATTCAGAACCCACGTAGCATGGCGCATCATGCCTGTGTGTTAAGACGATGGCACTCTGCCTTTGCCTCACTCCCTCCCGCAGGAACAGCCCCGGGATGCGCCGTTGAAAATATACGGCGTGGCCATGGTCCTGAGGCCGACCCCCCGTGCAGCGTGTGGGCACGGCCCTTCTCAGGTGACCGTGAGGAGGATGACTTCGTCGGTTTTTAATTCAGAGCGGGAGTCCACGTGCCCGACGGCGTTTTTACCATCGGCGTCGATGCTTTCGTTTTCGTTCGTGTCCGTGGTGCAGAAACTACCCTCGGAGGAGAGTGACCCGCCCAGCCGTCAGGAATCGAAGGAGCTGAAGAAGAATGTCTCCTTCGCTCGGTGTCCGGGCACCGAGGCCGGTCGGCTCTCGGGACGCAGCCGTGGCGATGAAGACGGCGACGAAGACGGCTTCCACAAACGTGTGAGTGCTGCCACGCGCGAAGCGCCGGGGCGTTCAGTTGGAAGTAGCGTGCACGACGCACGTCTAAGAGCGACGGACCTCGTCAGATCAGCTTTTTTCAGGGATGCCTCTCGCATGTCCCCCTTCGTTCTACAACGACGCTAGTGTCGAGGCGTATATGATGACTTGGAGGCAGATCTTCGTGTAGGGGCTCACGCCACATTTATTAAGGGCTTACGCCAGTTGTTTTATTAAAGACCTCTCTTCGTACACGACTCCGTGTACTGCACACTCACTGCCTACACTCCACACCCCAGGGGAAAGGTACTGGGGAGGTCCCTAGCACACCCGCAGGCTACCCTAGCCTGGTGCCAATTTCCCCCTACCCCGGGTCCCGACTTTCACCCTTCACGTTCCCGGACTCTCCAGACGACCCTGAACCCGTGACGGGTTCCAGCTTAAATCCCCCAGGGGGACATGACATCACCGTCCCACCCCCTGTGCATGACGGCACCATCCGTGACATCATCATACCAGAGGGTGAGCGTGACATGACGTCACTAACTCCTACTCTACACTAGTAACATAATCATCACTGTTTGGCCGTGCGTAGGGATGGCAAGTTGGCACCGCACGTAGTAGCATTGCCCATATTCACCCTCTACTGAGTGAAAGCCTCTCCATGCCATGTGGGTTGTGAAGGTTATTTGACCTTACTTCACCTCCCTGGTTATTGTGGTTTGTTTAAGGGAGGGAGTATAACAATGGATTTTGCTACCTTGCCCTCAGGGCGGGTTGTAAGGGGGGCTAGACCTGGTAAAAGCCCAGATATCTCTCTGCATTTAACTTAGTGCACTACACCGTGAACCCGGCTTGCAGGGTTCACGGCGCAATGTGTTAACCACTGCGCCCCCTCTCTGCAAATCAGGTGGTGTAGCGTCAGCTCATGCTCCGTGTTGCGTGGCTTTGGTGAGTAATTTTATTGTTGTATTGTGTATTGGGGGTAAATCCCTGCACGTTCACACGGTGGCCTGAAGGGGGTGTTCTGTGCCTTGGCATTGCAGGTGGGATCCACTGAAGAGAATGGGCCGGGTCCAAACAATGACCCGTCCGTGGATTCACTCGAAGAGGCCTGAAGCAGTGGGACACGGATGCACATGCACACACACGCACACACACACACGCACACTCATACACGCACACACACCCACACACCCACGCGCACGCACACACACCCACGCGCACACACACCCACACGGTCATACACACGCATACACATACTCACACACACACGCACGCATACATATACTACGCACATACATGTAAATTTGTTCTTAACTTCGTAACTGTGCAATACAAATTAAACTACTGTATATAAATACGTATCAACTACTGTAATAACTTTTAATAAAGCCTCATGAGCTAAAAGAAGCACTTGTATTGCATAATTTAGTTTTTTGACAGCACAAATAATTGGACAAAGAAACTCTGCTTTGGTCATTCAAGATACAAATCGTCAAGATCACCGGCATCAACGCGAACGTCAACAACACAAACATCAATGACATCAATGCCATCTACGCGACTGGTGTAGATGGTCCACGGTAGGGCAGTGTTCGCTATGGACTCGGGTTCCAGTATCAGCACGTGTCTCTCTGTTACGTCCCCTGTTATGCATCTTGAATTGGTCTTGATGTACAGGTCCCGGTTTGAAACCTTGTTTGGCCAGAAGATGCGATATATTTTCCTCAGGCAGTTGTTGGGGAAGGTTGATAGGGGGTTCATGTCTCTATCTTGGTGGTTCTCCAACTTGCACTTGTACAGCAACATTGATTTTTACATTGCTGTTATAGATTCGTACCTTTGTTGCAGATATCTATACACGTATAAATTATCTGAATTAATGATAGACGTGACTTAGGGAGGTTAACATCACGCAATTGAAAAAAAAACCCCTTGGAATGAAATTGAGATGCCGAAAGAGAAACGCGTGGATTGGGGAACATCTGCAGGTTACGAGCATCAGCCGGACTGTTCGAGAGGACGAGTGTATTGGGGGCAGCACCCGTCAGCGGCACGGCGGAGACTCACGGCGGACGAGGGAGCGTGAGCTCACGTGCAGGAGTCAGACGCAGGGCCGCATCGCGCGAACAACCGTGCGAGATGATGGTGGCTCTTGGCTTTATTTTGTTTCAACGTTTGCTGGGTAACCAGCAGCACTACGCCCGGCATGAGAACGAGCCTTGTGCAGGCTGTGTGCTGGATACACATTGCCCTACGGGGTTAGTCTCCGTATGTTATTGGTCAGCACATGTGTTTGTTGGTTATGTTTGCTGGCTTAGGCTATTGTTTCCGTGCGATCAGTTTCTTCATCATCTACCGATATGAATTGTAATTTGTAATCTAGGCAGTCCCTCACTTATGAATACAATTAGTTCCAGAGCAAACCCAGACGTGCAAGGGAGCAACACTCGGTCCCATTTTTTGCCATCTCGACTTCTTGCGAGCCAGGATACGGCGTCCCTTCTCGAGGCCCACACACAGTAAGTAGGAACAGACGGACGTTAGTTCACATTACTGCACCGCCTTCTCCAGGCGAGCCTGGGTACAGCTCCCCCCCCCCGCCTCGACGCGCAGGAATGTTAATGGAGTTGCACGCCATCCGCGTGTGGTCCACCAACCTACGCGGCGGAGTCCGCAGCGCTGGGTCACAGGCAACGCAGCCGCCACCGCCTCCGCGGCTCCACTCCGCATCCTCAGTAGAGGACAGCCACTCCCCTTCCGTTCACGGGGTTCTCGGTTTGTTAAACAAGATCAAGTCAAGCGGTAAACCATTTACAAAATAGGTTACCGGTTTCGATAAGTCAAGAAGCGGTAACCGTTACCGGTGGAAATGTTTGTAATGAACGTACCGGCTGGCGCCCGCACGAACAACCCGAACGTCGGCATAGGTCACCGGTAGGGTCCAGGCGAGGTCCTGAATTTGGGTCATTGAACGTGGAGGCCACTGCTCGCCTCCACAAGAGGGAGGCGTGGGGGATATTGTTGGCCTTTTGAAGAGGCGGGAGTAGTGCTGACACTTGGCACCGCCACACGTCACGTACCCATCGTTGACTCTACTGCGGTGAAGCCATGTCCACTGCTGCTGGGGGGACAGAGGCGGTGGTGGGGGGATTTGAAAAACTCGCTCCCCCTTTGTTTCAACCGCCATGCCAGGAGATGGGAATTGAACCGCGACCTCCGGATCGCAAGTCCAGTGCGACGCTGACCGCTCTGTCATCACTGTGGCATCTGCCGCCTGCGACTTTCAGTTATTGCTCCAGAATTACGATGCACTACTGCGTTGCTCCTGATGCGGTTATGTGGCTTGACCAACCTGAATGTGAAATTGTGGTTACACTCACCATGATCCCCCCCGCTCTCTCCATGCCCCGCGACTATATAATCCCTCGTCACAGCCATCTCTGAGACACACTTTAAGCGTTTGTGCTTTCGCTACGTCGTCCCCACCTGAAGGACGATTGTGATTTAGTTTTCATTTATTTTATTTATTTTTTACCTACGTGACTTTACCGAAAAAACCAAAGAGTATGAATCCTTGCAGTTACGAAAGCTTCAAATCTAGAAGAAATTGTAGTTGTTGCTCTGCATCTAGATCAGCCGCCATACGACAAGAAGAAGAGATTGCTCCAAACATTTTAAAATGTGTATAAATACGGTTTTTACAACTTTTCTCCACGTGGGTACTAGTAATGTAAGAGATCCGATTTTAAGAACCCTATCACAATCTTAGTTCTTTCGGTAAAGTCACGTTGAAGGGAAACAACAAAATAAGAAAATATATATAAAACAATAAAAATTCTCACGACGTTTCGACCATAACACAAACGGTCGTCTTCAGGTGTGTCGGTTTGCATAAATGTATTTATTTTTAAACGGTGTATTTATTTATTTTAAAAAAACCGTTAGCGCCACGCGCAGCGATTTGGCAGTTTATTTAGACGGACTAGTCCATCTATGTTCTGAAAAGAGGAGGGGGGAAACTAATTTTTTTTTATGCTGTCTGAAAGCCACTGTAAGTGTGAACAATCAATTAAGACCTGAAATGGTTTATCAAATCTTTCCAATGATTGCTAAGCCAGAATCCATCTTCTCGGTTGAAATTGTCTCTGTGCTTGTATATGTGGATAGCCTCATGAAACGTCGTGATAATTTTTATTGTTTTATATATTTATTATTTTGTTGTTTCCCTTCAACGTGACTTTACCGAAAGAACTAAGAATATTAATTACTGCAGTCACGAAAGCTTTAAATCAAAATTTAACCCTATCACACTTCAACCCCGCTTTCTATATTCAAGGCTCATCATCAATCTGCTGGCTGCCACCTCTCACGATCCTGCGATTTATCAATCCGCCGATTTGATCGCTCCATCTCCTCAATGGTCCTGCCCGAGGACGCGTTCCCTCCCTTGGCTGCCACTCGCACCCGTCACGTGACACGCGTCACAGGCACGTGGCTCACCTCTTCAGGCGTCGAGTCTGGCCCATTCCCACTTAACGCTTCATCGCCATCATCTTCGTGTATTTTGGAACTTCTTTCGCACTGTACTAGCTGACCGTGCAAATCGGAGGTGTGGGGGAAGGACAACAAATATTTAACTTCCAGACTGATGAGACAGGGTCCAGTCTGGTGGCTACGCCTGTATTTTAATATACAGCTCTCCCATGAATCTTGTATGAGACAGAGAAAGGACTGGCGTGGGCCCGCCCGTAATGACTTCACCAGGATCGAGAGCTTTGTGCACTCCACCACGGGCCCTGTCGACAGCACGTGCTCACTGGGACTTCCAAAATCTGAACACCACCATGTTTTTACACACCGCACTATGTATTTACTTGAGGCTGAGTCGGCCTAGGGGAGGTCACGGTAATCGTCACTTGGTGTTGGTGGCCGTGAGCGGGAATCGATCTCAGGTCGCCAGGTTCGTAGCGCAGCGTAGCGCTAACCACTACACTACCGCTCCCCCAACACAGACACACACACAGACACACGCAGATACACACACAGATACACACACAGACACACGCAGATACACACACACAGATACACACAGATACACACAGATACACACACAGACACGCAGATACACACACACAGACACACACACACAGACACACGCAGATACACACAGACACACACGCAGATACACACAGACAAACGCAGATACACACGCAGATACACGCAGATACACACACAAATACACACATATACTCACACATATACATGCGGATACACACACAGATACACACACACAGACACACGCAGATACACGCACAGACACATGCAGTTACACAGACACACGCAGATACACACACACAGACACAGTGAGGGAAAAAAGTATTTGATCCCCTGCTGATTTTGTACGTTTGCCCACTGACAAAGAAATTATCACTCTATAATTTTAGTGGTAGGTTTATTTGAACAGTGAGAGACAGAATAACAACAACACAATCCAGTAAAACGCATGTCAAAAATGTTATAATTTGATTTGCATTTAATGAGGGAAATAAGTATTTGACCCCCTCTCAATCAGAAAGATTTTCTGGCTCCCAGGTGCGTTTCATACAGGTAACGAGCTGAAATTAGGAGCACACTCTTAAAGGGAGTGGTCCTAATCTCAGCTTGTTACCTGTATAATAGGCCCCTGTCCACAGAAGCAATCAATCAATCAGATTCCAAACTCTCCACCATGGCCAAGACCAAAGAACTCTCCAAGGATGTCAGGGAGAAGATTGTAGATCTACACAAGGCTGGAATGGGCTACAAGACCATTGCCAAGCAGCTTAGTGAGAAGGTGACAACAGTTGGTGCGATTATTCGCAAATGGAAGAAACACATAAGAACTGTCAATCTCCCTCGGCCTGGGGTTCCATGCAAGATCTCACCTCGTGGAGTTGCAATGATCATGAGAACGGTGAGGAATCAGCCCAGAACTACACGGGAGGATCTTGTCAATGATCTCAAGGCAGCAGGGACCATAGTCACCAAGAAAACAATTGGTAACACACTACGCCGTGAAGGACTGAAATCCTGCAGCGCCCGCAAGGTCCCCCTGCTCAAGAAAGCACATATACATGCCCGTCTGAAGTTTGCCATTGAACATCTGAATGATTCAGAGGACAACTGGGTGAAAGTGTTGTGGTCAGACGAGACCAAAATGGAGCTCTTTGGTATCAACTCAACTCGCCGTGTTTGGAGGAGGAGGAATGCTCTCTATGACCCCAAGAACACCATCCCCACCGTCAAACATGGAGGTGGAAACATTATGCTTTGGGGGTGTTTTTCTGCTAATGGGACAGGACAACTTCACCGCATCAAGTGGACGATGGAAGTGGCGATGTACCGTCAAATCTTGGGTGAGAACCTCCTTCCCTCAGCCCGGGCATTGAAAATGGGTCGTAGATGGGTATTACAGCATGACAATGATCCAAAACACACGGCCAAGGCAACACAGGAGTG